AAAGCTATACAAACAGTTTAACCGCATAAGTTTCTTTTTTATTTATGAAAAATCAATTTTAATTTCAAAGAGAAATATTTAATATTTCTAACTTTTGGATGACGTATGACAAGGTTGAATATATGTAGAGTGATGGTCTATATATGAATGGATGAAGTATGGAAGGGTGAAAAATATGAAGAGTAATGGCGAACGGAAAAATAAAAGTGTCCAGGAGCGGGAATCGAACCCACAACCTTCTGCTTACCGGGCAGGTGCCATGTCCACTACGCTATCCTGGATGTATTTCTCCGTTCGTAACTAATATTTAAACTGACTAATAATACTTATAAATGACTGCGGCGTATAATTATAAAGCTATACAAACAGTTTAACCGCATAAGTTTATTTTTTATTTATGAAAAATCATTTTTAATTTCAAAGAGAAATATTCAATATTTCTAACTTTTGGATGACGTATGACAAGGTTGAATATATGAAGAATGATGGTCTATATATGAATGGATGACGTATGGAAGGGTGAAAAATATAAAGAGTAATGGCGAACGGAAAAATAAAAGTGTCCAGGAGTGGGAATCGAACCCACAACCTTCTGCTTACCGGGCAGGTGCCATGTCCACTAGGCTATCCTGGACGTATTTCTCCGTTCGTAACTAATATTTAAACTGACTAATAATACTTATAAATGACTGCGGCGTATAATTATAAAGCTATACAAACAGTTTAACATCATAAGTTTCTTTTTTATTTATGAAAAATCATTTTTAATTTAAAAGAGAAATATTTAATATTTCTAACTTTTGAATGACGTATGACAAGGTTGAATATATGAAGAATGATGGTCTATATATGAATGGATGACGTATGGAAGGGTGAAAAATATGAAGAGTAATGGCGAACGGAAAAATAAAAGTGTCCAGGAGTGGGAATCGAACCCACAACCTTCTGCTTACCGGGCAGTTGCCATGTCCACTAGGCTATCCTGGACGTATTTCTCCATTCGTAACTAATATTTAAACTGACTAATAATACTCATAATTGACTGCGGCGTATAATTATAAAGCTATACAAACATATATAGACCATCACTCTTCATATATTCAACCTTGTCATACGTCATCCAAAAGTTAGAAATATTAAATATTTCTCTTTGAAATTAAAAATGATTTTTCATAAATAAAAAAGAAACTTATGCGGTTAAACTGTTTGTATAGCTTTATAATTATACGCCGCAGTCATTTATAAGTATTATTAGTCAGTTTAAATATTAGTTACGAACGGAAAAATACGTCCAGGATAGCCTAGTGGACATGGCACCTGCCTGGTAAGCATAAGGTTGTGGGTTCGATTCCCGCTCTTGGACACTTTTATTTTTCCGTCGCCATTACTCTTCATATTTTTCACCCTTCCATATGTCATCCATTCATATATAGACCATCACTCTTCATATATTCAACCTTGTCATACGTCATCCAAAAGTTAGAAATATTAAATATTTCTCTTTGATATTAAAAATGATTTTTCATAAATAAAAAAGAAATTTATGCGGTTAAACTGTTTGTATAGCTTTATAATTATACGCCGCAGTCATTTATAAATAGAAATTTATGTAAATACGGCTTTTGATATAAGAGCGAGATACAATTAGTTGACAGAGCTTCTTTTGTTTTTTGAGTTTAGTTCGTTGTTACTCTAAATCTCCTAGAGTCAGTTTAACTTTTTCATTATTAATAAAATATAGTTGCTTGTTTTATGAGAACGCGGTCTGGTTTATTTTATGAGATGGCGAACGCTGATCAGAAACATTTAAAAGTACCTACGGTCGAGGCAGGTGTAACAACTGGTGGAGATGCCGGTTTTGACCCTATACCCTTTAATCCAAGCTTGAACATCAGGAAGTATGCTGGAGACGAAGACCCACGCCAATGGATCACTTCTCTGGAAGAAGTTGGGTTTCTTTACCGCTGGGCGAATTACATCATCACCCGCTACGCCGCCATGAACCTAGTTGGACCTGCTAAAACTTGGTATGAATTCCACAAGATCAATCTTGCCACCTGGGAAATTTTCAAGACTCGCCTCATCCAGGACTTCGCGTCGCTGGAGAACAAGGACAAGATGATGCTCAAACTGAACAGAATGCAGGGGTGGAATGAACTCGCGATGCGATTTGCTGAAGATATATTGCTTCAATGCAGCAAAGTCCAGCCCAATATGGAAGAGATGGAAAAAATACAATTTGTAATCGGAGGTCTAAAGAAAGAGTACATGCTGGCGCTATATCTCAACCCCCCTAAAACCATCGACGAACTTCTGGAGGCATGCAAGAGAATAGATGGGTTCGAGAAGGAATACCTGGAACGAAAGGAGCAGAATAAAATTCTTATGAATCGGATTTCTCAAAAAGAAACTAATCATTCTAGATGGAACAGGCAACCAAGAAAGTTTCAATCATATAAAACTGAAAATTATTCGAGGCCTATGATGGGAGCACCAAGACAAAACCAAACTTACTTCCCCCCACAGGAGACTCGTACATTTCCCCGATCCACTCAAAAGGATACATATAGACGAACTCCTTCTGGCAACACTCATGATAGAAAACCTCGGAATGATAGAGGTAGAACCGAGGACGGACGACCTATCTGCTTTAGATGTAATAGACCGGGTCATGTAGCAAAGTATTGCAGAATAAAATACGTTCGCATGGTTGAGGAAGTTCCCCCTAGCCTAGACAGCCCGTCTGATGACAAAAAACCGCTGAACACCCGGAACCTGAGCCCAGAAGTATACGCCGATGTGTGTGAGAGACCAAACATTCCAACTCGCAACAGATTCGAGGTGTTGGAGGATTTAAACTAAAAAGCGCGCCTGTTCCAGTCAACCAGGGCATGTCGAAAATAGGCGCGGTCACAGAGATGGATTCAAAAAGCCGAATAAATGTGAATGTTGATAAAATTGGAATATTGGAAGCCTTGGTTGAAACAGGCGCGGATCTCTCGATTGTAGATTTAAGAACTGCTCTCGAAACTGGCGTTCGTATTGAAACCTATAATGGAAATTGTATTGGTCCAGATGGTAAAAGGCTTAATATATTGGGAAGCATTTCAATGGATATAAAAATTGACGAAAAGTCATTGAATCGTAGATTTGTAGTTCTGGAATCCAATATGAAATCATTAATAATTGGAAGAGATCTTCTCAGGCGTTTAAATGCGAAAATAAATGGCAAACGGGATATTTTGGAATATGACATTGTGACCGAGTGTCAAGATTCGAACGAAGCACCCAGGAAAATAATCAATCAGCAGGATGAAGTAGTGCCTCAATTTTGTGTTAAACTAGTCAGGGTAACCGTGAAGGCCAATGATGGCGAATACGTGGTTGAACCAAATGAAAAGCTAACTCTTACAAATGGGCTTAGTATTGCTAGATGTCTGATCACAGTAAGAAACAAATTATCGGATTTATGGATAACTAATCCTTATCCTCGAACATTAAAAATAATAAAGAATCAGACCTTGGGCTACGCAAGTCCTCCCACCATGGTTAATTATATAGAAGATGATGAGGAAGATAAGGTGACGGAAATTCAAATGAACGAGGACCTGACATTAAGCCAAAAGAATGAATTAAGGCAAGTTTTATCGAAATACAGTGATCTATTTTCATCAAAATTGGGCAAGACGAATTTGGCCAAACATAGAATTGACACAGAAAATGCGAAGCCGATAAAACACAAATCGTACAGAGTTAGCCCTAAGGAGCTAGACATCATCGGAGAACAAATTCAGGATATGCTCCAGGAGGGAGTAATAAGGGCATCTTCTAGTCCATGGGCTTTTCCGGTTATTTTGGTAAGAAAGAGAGATGGCAATTGGCGATTTTGTGTAGACTACAGGAAACTGAACAGCATAACGGTAAAGGATGTTTATCCGATCCCCAGAATTGATGATGTTATGGACACACTTCAGGGATCTAGATATTTCACGGCCATAGATCTCAGATCGGGATACTGGCAGGTAGAGATCGAGAAACAAGACAAGAAGAAGACGGCCTTCACAACATCCCACGGTTTATACGAATTTAATGTTATGCCATTTGGTTTGTGCAATGCTCCAGCTACTTTCGAAAGAATTATGGACAATGTACTAAAAAACATAAAATGGAAATTTTGCCTCTGTTACCTAGATGACGTTATTATATACAGTCCCGACTTTACCACTTATCTCGGAAGGATTGAGGCTGTTTTAAAGTGCTTTCGTGAATCGAACCTGAGGCTTAATGGGAAAAAGTGCCGATTTGGATTTGAAGAAATTGAAATACTCGGTCACGTGACAAGCAAACATGGAATTAAACCGGCAGATCATAATGTTAAAGCAATTAGAGATTTTCCCCATCCTTCAAAGACAAAAGAAATTCAGTCATTCATAGGACTTTGCTCATATTACAGGAAATTCATTAAGAACTTCTCGCGAATAGCTGACCCACTGTTCAAACTAACAAGAAAGGATTCTCCATTCATCTGGTCAGAATATCAGGAAGAAGCATTTATAACTCTGAAATCTTTGCTAACAAATCCCCCGATATTATCACATTTTGACCCAGAAGCACCGACCAAGATCCACACCGATGCATCAAATATTGGCCTAGGTGCTACCCTTGTTCAAACTATCAATGGTCAAGAAAAAGTAATTTCATACATAAGTCGATCATTAAGCAAGCCAGAACGTAATTATTCGACAACGGAGAAGGAATGTTTGGCATTAGTATGGTCAATGTCGAAGTTACGGCCTTATCTATATGGAAGGCGCTTCAAAGTTATGACGGACCATCACGCGTTGTGTTGGTTAAGAAACCTAAGGGATCCAACAGGTAGACTTGCAAGATGGGCATTAAAAATACAAGAATATGACTTCGAAATAATTTATAAATCCGGGAAAAAACATTTGGATGCAGATGGTCTTTCACGAGGTCCATTACCAGAAACTGATTTTGACGATAACTATGATAGTTTGTTTTTCAACCCAGTCATCGAGGATTCCGACGAATATATCGAAAACATCATGAGATGCCTCGGTGACACGGAGGGCAAACGATCGATTGTTGAAAATTTTAAAGAAGAAAACGGATGTCTGTACAAAAGAAATCCGAGGCCAGAAGGAAGAGCCTGGCTGCTGGTGGTACCCAGAGTGAGAAGGAAGGACATTTTAAAAGAGCACCACAATCATATGATATGTGGCCATTTAGGTGTGACCAGAACAATGCACCGTCTAAAGGA